TTAACAGGGGTATGTTTTTACCATGGATTTAGCAAATACATGAAATATAGCCAGATAGCGTTTATGCTAATAGCATGGTGACAGAAGAGCGCATTACAGTGGTTCAACACAAAAATGCATTGCAAAAATAAAATAATAGCATTAAAAAATAATATAGATAACGGGAATATGCTGCCTGAAGGATTTTGAAAACACGATAAACTGTGGTCTAGAGGAAATGTATTCAGAGGACTACATGGATTAAAACTCTTGCTTAGCACACAATTTTATATAACAATGGCAACAGAAATAACAACAGGATGCATTTTGTGGAAAAAAGCTCATCATAAACTGGTGAATGAATAAGCTGTAGTGTTAATAGTGTGTGGCTAAGAAGGTGAATTGAACAGAAGTGAACAGCTGACACACAAAAACAAAGTCCCTCCAAACAGGAGCTCTGCTTTGCTACACTGGCCACAAAGGCATCATAAATTCACAGAGAACAATCACAGGTGTGACAAGATCTCCCTCGACAGGCTTGTCTTTGTTGCGCATGTATACTGTATCTTGTGATAGCGTCAATGAAAAGATAGGACAGAAAAAGAGTGTACTGAACAAATAATGCTGGTCATAACCCTGATAAAATCAAGGCAATGTTTACAACTTCTGTGGAAAAGGGTTGCAACTAAGGATATGGAATCATTTTTCCCACAGCAAATCAATGAAACACAAGACAGCTTCCACATGGTCAAGACAAACTGTCAAGACAAAAACTGTACATGCAACATTGTAAGTCAGAGTTTAGCATTCTTAACTGACGCTCACACAGGTAAGTGTAAATATAACCACTGATGTAACGCAAAACGTCATATATAAATGTATATATAAAAGTTCCTGACCTTTGATCAGCGGTGTCAGACTTTACTTCCTGGATTCAGCCATTACTTCAGCTGGAACGCCTCATTCACATAGTTACTGGAAATTTTCATTACTTGTTTAGACTTGTCTTTTTGGGAACTGTGCTGAAAAAAAAGCACAAAAAGTCAAAGAGAAAAGCAAAACAGTTAATACGTTGAAACTGTCTGAACTGAGCTCTTGTGAGGGACACAAACACCGGTTCTATCGTACTTTTGAGACCTATTTTTTTTTTCCCAGAAAAGTTCTGGTTGTTTTCCAAATTGTACGGTCTTTAGCCTTGCAAATTTTGAGGTGTGATACACAGAATTAAAGCTGTTGAGTTTTGCAGGTCAACTGATTGTTTTGAGGCATTAATGGACTGATGGATTCCTAAAAGTGTGCCAATATTTTGCTTCAGTCTGTCATGAGCGACATGGAAAAAAAAAAAGAGGACAGCATGGGAAAACTAGTCGTGGTTCTTGGCAATGTTATCATTGTTAAGGAAAACTAACAAAATGAAAAACAATTTTTTTTAAAAGCATTTTTGTTAAAGAAATAAAATAAAACCAAAAATGCTTTAAATAAATAAATAACTGAAACCACATCTTGTATTACGAAAACTAACTAGAATTATGTCGGAAATGTCCTTTGTTATTGTCTTTTTAATCAACATCATACATGAGCTTCTCGGGTTTGAGAATTGTAGTTTACCATACTTTATTACTCAAGACAAAACCAGTATTTAATCTTGGACTTGACAAATTCTCCATATATTAAAAAAAAAACTACTAAACTAAAACTAATACTAAAATTAATTCTAACCGAAACTAAAAGTAAGCATTTTCCCCAAAAATAAGGACAAACAAACTTGCTCTAAAACGAATTAAAAGTAAATGAAATTAAACAACACAAGTAAAACTAAATAAAGACAAACTTTAAAGGAAAAAAAAACATTTTAACCCTTGTCCGCGGATCATGACAGAGCGTGCAATTAAAAAAATACTAATAATAATCTGTGTGATTTTTATACTATTCCAAACCACAATGGATAATATTACTCTTCCAAGAGTTGTATCTCCTGTGTGGACACTTATTAGGAACCACGGAGATGAAGCACAGAATTCATTTTAAAATGTTAAAATGAGATTCAAGCAAATGAATACAAGTCGGAGTGACTAGAACATTTTTGGAAATCCGAGTCCTCCACATTAATGCAGGGTACAAGCTGAAGTAGCAACGTACACACAGCATGCTAATTAGGTCTGCCTCGGCTTATTAAGTCAGCCTTACGCCAACACATTCTGATTCTCTTCAAGTACAAGACTCCTAAAGATGTCAGGGTCTGGATTAGTCTTAAAATCATTTTACATGGATAGCATGCTCTAACAAAATTGTTGGATTATAGTGGTTGCTTTAAACGATTGAAACTCAGACATGCGATCAAGCACCTGATTTTTACAACAGCCGTCTAATTGTTAATATTCGGTGAAAATTTAGTGCAGGTAACATTCAGAAGGAAAGACTTGAACAAGACAATGCCGGGATGAAAGAAACAGTACGTCAGGGATCCCCATCGTTTTTTGTGTCACGGACGAGCTGAGACAAGTACATGGCGGCAACCATTTTTGTTTCATCACTTTTAAATGGTCAGTTTTGAAGCAATGGTACTGACAGCAAAGATAATTATAGAGTAATTCAAAATTTTATTAAAATATTTTTTTCATTCCTTTCAAACTATTTTATTCAATAGTACAACAAATGTAGAAGATTATAAAATAAAACAGTAAACTACAAAGAAATGGACCAATCATGAATAAAAAATATGCCTTATAATGTAAGCATAATCATTTTTAAGTTGTGATCCTTTATACGGCGGTAAACATCATTGTTATTTGTAAATGTGATTGATCTACAGATGACACAATTGATTGCTGCTTTCATCTGGTGGCTGCCGGCTATTATTGGCTAAATAGCTCATGTTTACGTGGTCAGGCTGTGCAAACTTGGCTCGCATATAGTCATGCTTTCGACTTGATCACTTGGGTGCTACTTGTTCAAATAATTCAACAGGTTTCTTGTATCGTCTTGTTTTTGACGACATACCATGCACAGCAGATTCCTCCTCCACGTCGCTCTGGAGATTGCGGAAGGGCAGGAGTTTCTCTTGTGGAAGTCATGGCTGCCCACGAGCTGCGCGTTTGGATGTACGTTACGTCGATTTGTTGCTATGACTTTTTGTGTACTGCTTCTTCTTTCATTTATTGGCGGCTTCTGTTTACTTTAACTTGCAAACCAAAATTACAAAGCGGACTCCGATTGGCTAGAGTCGCGCACGTTTCCGCCACGTCTGATGGCGTAAATGTGCTCACAGCTCGCCTCTGGTCACGTAATATCACGAATCTCGATCATCTAATCACCCAGCCCTATTTATATCGCCCTTTGGAAGGTAATCAACTGGCTGGGTGGTCTTTAAGGAGTGTGGTGTTTAACTGAGACCCAGCAAAAATAAACAAAAAAAGATTTTAGCCTGTCTCTGTAAGGGCCCAGTACCACATGGGCCGCGCCCACGGGCGGTGGTTGTGGACCTCTGCAGTACGCGACAAATCTGGGGGGAAAAAAAGAAAAAAGACAGTGCCCTGGAGAGTCACACTTAAGGCAAACTGAATTGTGGGAAATACTTAGAGAATTCAGTGCTGCAAGTGTGTTCTCCGCAAAAATGAATGACTTGTTCTTGCAAATGGTGGCTGGAATATATACCACTGGGTTGCCACAACGGTTTGTCATGGCGCTTTCAAGACACCACGGCAGCGCATGTCATGTCGGGACCTTTTCCAAAGGTTGGTTGATTGGTTGATTTTTTTTTTTCTAAGGAAAATGTTTCCTCCCTCCTGACTCTTCTGTATTTCTCTGCATGAGTTGCGCGCACTCACGGCCGATAATGAAGCGCTCTAAAGCAGCCTCACCAGCATGAAGCCCCTGTTCACACGCTGGCTGGACTCGACTTTTTTTTCCCCTTGGTCTTCCGCCTCATCGTTGTGATGTACGTGCACTCTGTGCAGACAATGAGGTGCTCTAACCTGGCCATGCTAGCCCAAAGCACATGAGTTACCTTGTTTATGAAATAATAATAATAATAATAATAATAAGACATTTTAATTGAAAGCGCTTTCATCATACTCAAAGACACTTTACAAGAGTTTAAAACACAGGATATAAAATGTACACAAATGCGCTATATAAATGCCTTGTGTCTTGGAGGAGTGTTGACATGTTGAGAAAACACTAGCTGCACCTAGGACTGGTTGTTTGATTGAATTTAGGCATTTTTTTTTCTCCAATTACTCCACCAATTGCTACATGTAGACGTCTGTATTAATGTCCGCATATTGCGATTGATAGTTCAACATAAATAATCCAGCGACATCAATTCCAGGTAAGCATTTCATTCACCACCATCCATCCATTTTCTATACTGTATCCTTTCAGGGTCATTTAGCCTGTACCACTTTACTTTGTTTCACCGGTCAATTACATTCATCTAACATGTATGTTTTAGGAATGTGAGAGGACCTCAGAGCAAACCCATGTCAACGTCATATGCAATGGATATTTTTATAAAGGCAGTTTGACACAGATTTGTCTTCCATGTCCTCTGCAAAAAATTTTTAAAAAATCCTCCAGCATTAATTCCCTAAATGTTGCTGAACAGCGGCCCACAAGTGATGCTGTGAGCGATCATGACAAGCAATCGAATAACATTTGCCCATTGGACTTTTATTATGATGCAACCCCAAATCGTGTGGTGGGTGACAATCTTACGCAGCTGGAGAGAAGAGTGTGTTACCTTCAGTAGCTTTATGCACCACTCAAAAAATGAACTCAACTTTTATATTCAGGAGTCAGTTGTTTTCAATTATGAAATTGTTTTGTGTTGGATCAATACCTGTACCGTCCCTCACCAAAGCCAAGGAGTCTTTTCTAGGAAACAAATATTTTACTTTTACGGTATTTATTTATTTTTCTCTGATTCTGATTAAGGGTTTAACTTAGCTTAATGTTTTGCAACACAATACTGTATATCTAGTGGCACGATGAAGCTTGGAATCAATTGAGGGTAGAAAACATTTTGGGGAGAATGGTTTTATTTAGTTTATTGAAATACAGAGCAGGCACATGAATCGAATATTGTGTCTACTAACAGGTCAGCTATAAAGAACAAAAAAGCAATACACAGCAAAAGTTGTTTACTTGTATCTATTTCAAAATTAAATAGAGCAAAACCACAAACCGAGGGGAAAAAAACAAAATCTTTGAGATGATTGGTTGTGCATGGGGGAAAATGCTCAGGGTGAGCATAAACAAGCCCATCTGGGATTAGTTCAGTGATGCCAAACGGGCAAAACAAAATTTGAATGGAAAACGAAAGCAGACTTTTTGAACACTTAAACAAGCTGTTGAATTTAAAGCTTTAAAAGAGTTGAGTCTAGGTTTCAAAAAAATAGTTCCCCATTTACAATCTGGACCAGTTTTCCAGCTTTAGGACAAGTAATAGAAAACAAGTCATATTCGGGAGGAACCCCACCCCTTTCTTTGCATGCCTTCCTCCCAGTCTGAGGAGAGCAAAGGATTGGTACCTCAATTTGGACCCATTCTTAGGATTTGGAGGTTGCCCTCATTGACAAAAAAATGAAGCTCAGCAGCTGTGCAGAGAAGAGGCGTACATCATTGATTGTTTGGCTCACTGGATTTGAAAAGGCTTCATCAAAAAGAGTTGGACTAAAGAGCGGATCAGTTTGGCTTAAATGCGTCAAAAGAACATCTCAGTTACATGGCCAAAAAAGCCATGATTGCTGAACAAAATGAGGGAAACCAAAAAAAAAAAAATGTGTCATGGAGATGACGCATCTGTCATCAAGTGTGAACAGGTGCAAATACATGGTAGCAACTTCGGCTTGTTGCAGTTGGGCCATGACATATTCAAATCTCACATTCACCAAATAATTATTGCTCGACTTGAAGTAAGGCCATTGGGAGTTTGCATAGCTGATATTTGTGGAACAGACCATCATCAACAAAATGAAAAACACCAGAGAATCCCAGCATGGTAATAACCGAAATGAGAATGGTTTTGTGAAATTAGGTCATACATACAAAACAGAAAACAAATGTGAAAATACAAAACGCCTGTGTCCAATTGATTCCTCACTATTTTTCCACACACAAAAAGAAAAAAAAAGTGCACAGGAGCCTCCTGGAATTGAGATGAGGCAAACGCACATGTACATCAATGGAACAATGGAAAGATTACAATTTCCAAAAAAAAAAGTTAAAAGCTCTTTTTTATATAATGCCAAGCTTGATTCTCTATACAAAAACAAAACGGAGGCTCTAGATACTATCCATTGCTTTAAACTCGCTCAGGGCCTGCACGGGGTTGACGTGCTTCTTGTGAGAGGATCTTTTAACCCGATTAGTTTGGCCATCATCTTGCTTCTCTCGCTTCACCAGAGGTTTCTTCTCCGGCGCCTTCATCCTCCAGGAAATGGCGGGCATATTGAGGGCCTCCATACCTTTGTTCTTCTGATACTTGGTGGAGGCAACGTACGACGCCTTTACAGTGGACACCACGGTGTTCATCAGATTCTTTGCAGCCTGAATGAGGGACATGGCGCTGTCCAACTGTTCATGTGAGAAAGAGAGAGAGATGCAAGAACACAGTTAGCCTCTGAGATGTTGGAAAACAAAGGCTTCTTTGTTTGGGTAGGCTAGAATCAACAACCTTTCCACGTTTTGACATAAACATATGTGAGGAACTGGAGACTAGAGAAAAAGGTCAAACTAATTTAATCTCAACAATTTAAAAGCCTCCGAGAAATTGGTGACACTTATGCTAAGTGTTAAAAACGCAGACGCCTGTCAGCCTTGCTGAAAGGGGAAAGAGATTCATTATTTCATGCACAGAGGCTTGCTATTAAAATCAGGTTGAACGGCAAGTGGCTAATTAATGCTTTCACAACGCTGTAAACAGTGCACGCATGTAGGCAATGTCGTTGCTTTCCATATAAAAAAGCCATTACCTTTATTATTAGTCAATATACTGTACACACGAGCACTAATTCAACAAAACCAAACGTAAATACTACAGTACTTGAAATTTATTACAAGGTGCCCATGTAATTAAATGCAAGTCCAATGGAACCACCCAAGTCAAATGCTTGAAACGTGCATACATTTGAAGTTAGCCCAAAATGTCTGGAAAAAAAAATTGCTGCAAAAGCCAAACTAAAATTGAGTATTCATTTTGTGTGACAGCATGTAAGGTTGTTGAGTTTTTCCTTTACTCCATATATATATGTATATATATATATATATATATATATATTTTTTTTTTTTTTTTTTAAATGACACTGCCAAAGAAAAGTATCAATGATGGTAAAGAGAAATGATAAATGTAGAACGGGAAATAGAATTTCTGGGAATAATATAATTACTGATTTTTCAGACTAAGCCGCACAACTACATGCTAAAAGAAGGATGTAATGAACAAAAATATTTGTCAAATACCACATGAAAGTAGATGAAGAAATGAAACAAGTTATAGTAGTAGTAGTAGTAGTAGTCATGGCAACTATTGGATGATGTATGTTCTTAATTTGCTGCTGCCTCTCAGGGCAACAAAATGAAGGCTAACCATCTCACCATCAAGCTCGCAAGTTTAGCATGCGGCATCCGCCCCAACAAGCAGCGCAAGTTGCAATAACCAACCAGGATTGTAACTTTGGCCACATTGTGATGCAGGAATCTAGTTAAGGTCAGCCATTTTAGTTAGAAGTAGAATTTTCAAATCCAACCTGCATTCATTCCCTGCTGTCGATACGATTAGGGAACGGGGATTTTTTTGTGCTATTGTAATTTCTATGTGTGTGTGTGTGTGTGTGTGGGGGGGGGGGGGGGGGAGAGAGGAGAAAGAGAAAGAGAAAGAGAGAGAGAGAGAGAGAGAGAGAGAGAGAGAGAGAGAGAAACTCACCTGAGTTTTGCCAGGACCAGTGTACCTATCACGGACATTTCCGGGACAGATAAAATGTCCATTTTACTGTACTCAAACTAGTCATGACCTTTCAGTCTTCTATTGGTGCAAAGTTTAGAGTGATCTGATGACTTGATTATTCGGTAGAATAGCGTGATAGGACAATTGATCCTAAAAAGGTTCAAATTATGCACCACACAAAATGGCAATACGAAGTGACAATTTAGATCCCCCCCCCCCCATTTATGACAGTTTGAAAACATTCCCTGCAGAAGTAATGTGTTTGAGTTTTGAACAAATAGACTGATATGTTGTGGGAAGTGTTGTTTGGAGCCACTACTTTCAGAGACGACCTGATGTATCGTATTCATTGCAAAAATACTCATTTCATGTGACAAGAGCTGAAGCAACCGAGTGCCGCTCGATCAACCTGCTGTTTTGTTTCCATGTGCGACGCGACTCTACAAGAGTATGTGAGCGGAGTGGCATTTGAAAAGCTCTTTTGCAGAATGATTTGAATTTTTTGCCATTCTCCTCCTCCTCAGGATTCAGTCGGTTACCTTTGAGACTTGCACACTCGACTTCGCTCTCCTCGCAGCAGATGTCAAAACATTTCACCAACAGTTAGGCTTATTTCATATGTCATTTAACATCGGTTTTAACTCCTCCACGACTCTTCAGTTACTTTGGTGGGTGAGCACATTGAAGAGAGTAAATTATAAATGGCTCCCTGGTGTCCATGATTAAAATGACGGTGAACTCACCCCCGAGACAACCAGCTCTCCTCCCAGATTCTGAACCTCAGCCTTGACTTTGCTGCAAATGTTGAGCTGGTGGCAGTACAAGGCGATACGCTGCAGGTAGGCGAGCAGGTCCTGCTTACAGGTTGAGTCCGGGCACTGCAAGACACAAAGACAATCCGTTAACAAACGTGCTACGTTCATTTGTATCAATCGTGTATGAATGGACTGGTGATGCTTGAATTTTTACAGCTGGTGGGCGGTTGCAATGAATCCAATTTGCCACTTCTACCGTTGGTTCACATTTCTCGAGCTTGATATCTATGGCATTGTACAGACACACGGATCCCACACTTTGAAGATGACTTGGCGGCAGGATGACGCCTAAGATAGACGCTGGCAGCAGGAATATGCTCACAGCCAAAACGATCAACTCAAAACACCCACAGGGATAATCCATTTTGTCATAGGTGGCTCGGATAACAAAATGCAAATGTTATTACAAATGAGTTCGATCTAGTTGGTGTCAACAACATGGTGTCAAGTGGATTTCAATACAAAAATACAACTACACTTGAAAATGTGGCACTGTTAATTGACAATCATAGGAATTACTATTTTGATTCAATAAACCTCTCAAGCCATTTGTATGTGGGAACACAGCAAGATGAAAGCATAAATCAATGTCAGCGTGCATACGATTGAAAAGCTCTGAATTTCAACCGCAGACCTGAAGCATTTTCAGCAGAAAGGTCAGGTGGCGTCAAGAGTCTGCCCCCTGAGTTTGAAATGGTATCAAACCATTTGAGGTTAGGAGACATACTTTCCCGTTTGGACATCACGTCAGAGATGGGGATATAATCAAAGGTAAATACGGATGACGAAATGTTTAGCCAAGCAAAAATCATGCCCGGCAAAAAGCATGATAACCTCTGCTCGAGCAGTGATGGAGGCAGCCACTTGAGCGAGTTGTGACAGCAGACCGTTGTAAGCAAATTTCAAACCCTGGTCGCCTGTTTCACTGCTCAGCTCCAGTCGAGCCAGCCAGTGGACATGCCACAATGTCCATCCCTCCTCCATCCTGCAGACCACAGAGGCTACCGGGTTGATCCTGTCAGCATATCTGCATAATTTCATAGATTAAATCATGCAAATCTAAACACACACAGTGAAACCGCAAATGACTCATTAAATCAATGGCTCCTTTGATTGACCCGCTGTTACTTGGCCAACTGTGGCAATTCTAGAGTTAATAAATAACACTCTTCATAAAGAGACCCCGTTTCACTTTTTAAAACTGAATCCAAAGATAAGCAAGCAATAGTGTGATAGTGTATCACTTCTGTTGTCCTACGAGATTTTCGATGATGTACCTGTCCGCTTCAATACTTTTGCTCACTTAAAAAGTGGGTCGCTTCAAAAAAAAAGCTGCTCTCCCTTGAGTTGTTTAACACACATAAAAGATGGAATTCTAAACTTTTCTGTGATACCGTATTTTCACAACCATTCGGCGCACCGTATTGTTGGGCGCAGTCTCACTAACGGGTGCTATTTTGGTATTTTACACATAGACAAAACGCACTGTATTATTGGGCGCAGTTTTACAGTGGTAAAACATACGCCAGCTTAAACATACGGCATGCGTGCACGCACGCTAAAAACACGTTAGCTTGAAGCATACGGTAGCATGCTAAGACATACGGATACACGCTAAAAACACGTTTTTAAAAAGGCAACGGAAGCAAAACTGAGTTCAGTTGCATTTTATTTAGCCAGCTTACAATGTCCTCACGTTTTTTGATTGATCAAAAAACGTGAGTATACAGTCGAACAAACGTGAGTACACAGTCGAATGGTGACTGTGGAGACGCTTCTGCCGGCTGCTCTTTGATCAACAATCCACCGCTCCAGTTGGTCTTCCAACGCGGGCCACCTCGCCTTCTGTCCACGAAAACTCAGCTTCGTCTTTTTGACTTGGCGAAGCTCGTTCTCCTGCTTCCTCCATTTGCGAGCCATGGATTCGTTGACTTGAAATTCTCTCGCAGCTGCTCGATTCCCATGTTTCTCCGCATAACCGATGGCTTGAAGCTTTGTAGGCGTGTCTCTTTGTAGAAGTAATTTCGGGGGTTCTTAGAAACCAAAACCGAAGTTGTTTTGCAATAACGCACATATCCACACTTTCTCTCTCTCGCTCTCTCTCGCTCTCTCTCTATTATATATACACGCCCACCCTTCACTGATTGGCCGACTTCTTCGCCGCATGCCTGTCCTCATTCACTTCCGCCTTTTCTCTATATAAACGCGTGTCGGCTCTCTATCAGGTTTTGGTACTCAGCGCATACACAAGACGCTCCGCATTATAAGGCGTGCTGTCCACTTTGGAGAAAATTTTACACTTTTAATGGCGCCTTATAGGTGTGAAAATACGGTACTTGTCTTTGACCAGGAACCTAAATGTGTTCAGGATAAGATGAAGCTGACCTGTGACCTTGTTCTTCAGCTTTGCTAGAACTATTTGGAATAGTCACCTCTGGGTTAAAAAAATAAAAAGACTAAGACTAGCAAAAAGTTGTTTAGTGAGATGAGGCTACAATCAACTCTTGCTAGCAGTACGAACTGCATACGTTTTTTCTTTTGGTGCCGTAAATTGGTCAAGACATTACCAAGCGCTCTGACCACATTGGCACAATTCATGTACCCCCATTTTCAGATTATAAAGTAATCCATGTTTTAAAATTTAAAACAAAAAAACTTTGAAATTGGATTTATTAACCCCCGTGCAATGCAGGTACACTTCATGTACACCTGACATGCGTTGTGTTGTAAAAACGAATGCATGCCACAGGTTTAAAACCCATGCATGGCATGCATTTGTTTTTGCAACACAACGCATGTCAGGTGTACATGAAGTGTACTTGCATTGCACAGGGTTAAATTGGACACTCTTAAACTATGACACCATTGAAACTCAACTGCCAATAGCAGCGACCGAAGCCTAATGTGGTTGTGCTCAGAATTGACACAAACAATCAATGCTGAGGCAACACTGCCCGTTCACACTCACTTTATAAAAGAAAATCATAAGTTAAACATACAATTTGGGATGTTTTAGTCTAAATATGCATATCATATTGCCCAAAAAAAGGAAAGTTAAAAGGAATCATTGAAAGTTACCTTATATCGATTGTCAGGTTATGTGAGCGCATTTAAACGGATGACTACAACTATATTTTCCTTTGTAGCCTTCATTGAGCACCCCGACTGATGCCCTGTGACAGTATGAATGACACAGTCATCTCGTTACCTCTGCGTGCCGCGTCTCAGACGCATAATTTTCCTGTGGGACGCACAGTTCCAAATAATGTGAATTTTTGGGACGCAAGGAAATTTCTCAGTCAAAACAAACAAAAAAAACCTACGGTATATCTTTTTATCTTTTTTTCCAGCAACGCAGTGTCGCAGTTCGACAATCACCACCATTGTTGTTTTGATCTCGCGTTAAGTAATTTCACGTGACGAGATTTCCATTCTCGCGAGACGAGATTGGCAAGATCGGCCTTCAACCTCGCGGACAGCAGACGATTGTCAAGTTGTGTAACGTTAAAACAAGTGTTGCGAACAAGTGTGGCGAAAGTTTATTGCGTAGATATCACAGAAGAAGCAGCTAAAGTTGGATATTTTTTTGCGATAATAAGTTGACTTTGAGAAAGTTTTGCATCATTGGAAGCAGAGTAAAGAGAGGAGAATTTATGAAGTCAAAGACTGAACCACGGGATGAAATAAGAACCCATTTCTCAGCAAATCTTGTATACCTGAATTAATTAAATTTTTGCAGCATTTGTTTATAAGAAATAAACCTATTATCAATGTATATTGTTGTTTGTGTTATGATCATATGCAATTGAATAAGTAGACCATTTCAGAATTCGAAATTTGGGACTCTAAATGCATAATGGGACTCATACTTTTCTGATCAGCGAGTCCCTGGGACTCGCTGGGGTTAAACTGTAAAATTATCACTGATGACATGGGCTGAATCTCTTTCATCATTACTATCTATTCGTGATTCATAGAAATATGGGCCAAGTAGAGAGGAGGGATATGTGGCCTTCCATTAAAGAAAACTATAACAGAAGATGAGGGGAAGAAAGCTAGAAGGGATGATGATTTTACAGATGAGGACCAATACATAGATGGTAGGAGAAAGAAAATGGGAACAAGAAAAAAGGTTAAAAAGCAGGGCAGAACCAAAAACATGAAAGTGAAAACAAGCACTTGGAGAAAGCATGAGGATGAAGAGTGAGCCAGAGGGTAAACCGTATGGAGAAATAAATAAGAGCGATATCCAACTAGGGAGAAGGGAAACACGAGGATTCAACTGCAGCTTGCACGAACACCAAGTGTGTGCATATACTTGCACGTGTGTGTGCGCGTGCAAAGCAACACCCGCACACACACACACACACACACACACACACACACACACACACACACACACCAAGACCTGTGATGAGGCTGAATGCAGCAGCCATGCTAATAAGGGCTTGGGGAAGAATTCAGACGGCTGAGAGCAGAGCGCTGTGAAAGCATCACTTGTGCTCGTGCTCAGCTCAGCTGCTGGCTTCACTCTGCAAGGCCTCCTGCACTGTGACAAGGGCATACATAAGTTGTGCAAAAGCGACAAGATCCACTAAGATTGTTTGGATAATGCAAATTCAAGGCTGACGTGGTTACCTGTGTGGGATTTGCAGGCTGCAATTTGCATTCCGACTACATTGTTTCAAATTATCCTCATGAACCTACTGTGTATGATCACTGTTTAAGAAAAAAAAAAAAAGACATTTATGGGCTTTTTTTTTTTTTTTTTTGCTCAGTCAGTTTTGGCAATGGATGGAAATTCTTAATTGATTGGAGTTCAGTTAAAGATGCTCTAGTAGGATTTCTCCTGCTTGTCATATCTTAGAGCACAACACATGCCGCAAAGAGCGTCTAGAAGTGAGGAATGTAATTGTTTAAAGGTATTATATAGGAGAAGGTTACAAAAAAATAGCATTAAATATCCAGTACCATGAAATAGGGATGCATTTATACCAGGGTGTGAAACCCGCTTCTCTACACCTGTACTCATAAAAATTAACTGATAACACTTCGCCGGCCTG